TATTGATCCAGGTGCAGGTTCAGAGTGATTTTCTGGCCTATCCAGTGAGGGCAGGAGGGACAAGGGAGGAACCTGCAGGCCGCTGGCTCAGCCTCCCACAGGCTTCCAGCATCACTGTGCTTCACCAGCAAGTGAAGGATGAGCCAGCAGGGCCCCCATAGTCCTCGAGCATCACTGTGCTTCACCAGCAAGTGAAGGATGAGCCTGGGACCCCCCCCCCCCAAAAGCGCTCAGCATCACTGTGCTTTAGCAGTGAATGAAGGATCAGACAGTGGGGCCCCCACAGACCTCCGGCATCACTATCTCAGACATATTGATTGTTGATCTATAATGAACATGCACTCAACTATAGGGAGCAGCGACACCATGGGGAGCAGAGCAGCGTCACTTGATGCTATAAAAGACTGCGTCCATCTTCTGCAGGCAGTCTGCTGCTGGCAGCTGTCCATGATACAGAGAGATGGCATGGCACGGGGTCGGGGTGGGGGGGTGTAGTTTCGGCCTGGGAACATAATCATAAAGGCTTCAGCGGAGGGATCAGTCTGCTTTAAATGGAGCTCTGCATAAATGAACTGGACACACACATACATGCACACACACACACACACACACACAGTTTTGTAATTATATCTTTGTGGGGACTCTCCACTCACTACAAAAGGAGACTTTCTGCATTTTTGCTTTTTTGACTGCATTCACAGATCTTTGAGGGGACCTGAAAAAATGGTTCCCACAATATCAAAATAACAAGTTTTTATCACATTGTGGGGGGGCATTTGGTCCCCACAACGTAATACAAACATAATCCACAAACAACGCATGTACAAACACACACACAGACATGCACGCACACGTCACACTCACTGGACTGGTGCATGTTCACACCCAATCAGAGCACTGGATCTGGCATCACTGTCCTTGTCTTTGGTTCCTGCCAGCATGTGACCCTGGCTCTCGGCATCCCTGACCAACAACGCTGCAGTACGCTTCCTTCACTTGGTAAATTTCTGTATTTATACACAAATTCACGCAGACTCACCCATACACCATTCAACCTTTTGAACTGTACTTATCACATTTAGCATAAAAGATGAAGCTGTTTCTAAAGAATACCACTGTCCCCTCGGTATGAAGGTGCTGCCTCTAAGCTCACAAAAACTCCATTACCCAGAATCCCAGAGGATTCCCACATAGCAGAGGGGCATCCAAGCCAAACACTAATTGGGTCATCAAATCAGAGCAATATCTAGGCTGACAGCCGTTCAGGCCTGTGGCGTGCCGGTCAT